TGCTCTTCCTTTCTCTCTTTGTATTTTTTGTAATGTTTATGCTTTGCTTTCATTAATATCAAGTTTATGCTTTTCATTTCCTTTCCTTTACTTAGGTAACTTTTATGTTCTTATTTTGTTTATCTATTTTGCTTGCTTTCATTATGTCTAGCTAAGTTAGTTATGTCAAGGAGAAAAGGTTACACTAATGGTGTAAGAATAAGAATAATGTAAACTTAATATGGACTTTAATGTTTGCTACTAACATGTTTTATATTTGTTATCTTGTTCACTCTTTAATACTTTGCTTGTTAAATGACTAATCTTGATTTATGTTGTATAACACTTGGTACAACAAATGCTTGACACTTTCATAGCCCATAATGTATGGTATAACCGACACCTGAGCTATGAAAAGAACTTGATTTGTTGTTAAGATAAGTTATAATCATGAATGCTTGACGAGATTTACAAGTACTAGCATTAATCGAATAAGATGACTAATATAATTATGTTAACAATCTATAATCTGATTGGAACCTCCTTTGTGTGTGGTTTCCAATTGAATAATAAGAGTTTATACTATACTTGTTTGACATACAATTAGTGGAACCTCTAACCTTGATATTTGTTATTATTATTGTTTAATCCTTACATTAATTTTCCATCTCCAAGTTCTCATCATCTTCTTCTTCTTCTCTTTCTTTATTATTATTATTACTACTACTACTACTACTACTATTATTATTATTATTATTATTATTATTATTAGTATTATTATTATTATTAGTATTACTATTATTATTATTATTATTATTGTTGTTGTTGTTGTTGTTGTTGTTGTTGTTGTTGTTGTTATTGTTGTTGTATTATTGTTATTTATAATTTGTACAATTAACCTCCCTGTGGTTCGACCCCGGTCTTGCCGGGTTATTTATTACTTCGACACTCCTGCACTTGGGAAAAGACAACAATCTTTTCGTCGTGTCACTTTGATGTGGACTATCAATGATTTTCCAGCTTGTGAAATGCTTTTTGGTTGGAGCACGCATGGAAAACTCGCATGTCCATACTGCATGGAAAACAACAAGCAAAAGTTTCCTGGTTTTGGTTTGACCCATAATTGGGTAAAGCAAAGTATATTTTGGGAGCTTCCTTATTGGAAGACCAATTTGCTTCACCATAACCTTGACGTCATGCATATCGAAAAGAACATGTTTGAGAACATTTTCAACACTGTCATGGATGTGAAGGGGAAGACAAAGGACAACATCAAGGCTATATTAGATATAGCTTTATACTATAACCATAAAAATATGGAGTTGGTTTATGATGAGTCACGAGTCACAAAACCAAGAGCAAGCTTCGTGTTAGAGAAAAATACATAACTGCTAGTCTACAAATGGCTTAAGAGTTTGCGTTTTCCAAATGGACATGCATCGAACATATCACGTCTGGTTAATATAGAGGACTGCAGATTGTATGGAATAAAGATTCATGACTACCACATGTTTATGCAAACACTCATCCCATTAGCTTTTCGTGATTTGTTGCCAAAGGGAATATGGGATGCACTCATGGAGACGAGTCATTTCTTCAGAGATATATGCTCCAGCAAGTTGAATGTTGATCACATTGAGAGGCTTCAAATGAATATCATCAAAACACTATGTAAACTTGAGATGATATTCTCTCCATCATGTTTTGACTCAATGGAGCATCTCCTTATACATCTATCATTCGAGGCAAAACCTGGAGGACCGATCCAATATAGATGGATGTACCCATTTGAACGGTTAGATATTACAGTTGCAATGTAATTCATATATAAAAGTATTTTATATGTTTTTCTTAATTGAAAATACTTGATTAATATTTCAATGCAGGTACTTGTTTAATCTCAAGAAAAAGGTTAAGAACAAGGTGCATGTTGAGGCTTCGATATGTGAGGTCTATATTGTTGAGGAAATCTCAACATTCATCTCGTACTATTTCAAACCTCATCTAAGAACAAGAATCAATCGCGTTCCCCGGCATGATGATGGCGGTGAAGTGCCTTCCAGTGGGAACTTGTCAATATCTCCAATACTTGATGACTCACACCTAAAAATATCGTAAAAGGAAGATATTTGTCGGAAATAGAGTTCAAACAAGCATACAACTATGTTCTATTTAACTATGATGAATTAAGACCTTTTATTTAGTAGGTTTATACTAATTAAACTTTGTTAGTAATATACTGTTAATTATATATTGTAATATCATACATTCATTATCACTTGCAAGCAACATCGACAATATTTGCTCTCCAATAACTCACAGCTGACCAAATCCCAAATCTTTCAATTACAAGATGAGCAGTTTGCCATGTGGTTCAGAACACATGTAAGCACTATCACAAACTCATTCTAACTTACAAAATTACTGTACATATGCACGTCATTATGAAATTCTTGTTTATTTATTGTTTATTGATGTACATTACATACAAGGTTTATCAAATGGGAAGGAGTGCACCTAAGTCATTGTCTTCACTAAGCCTGGGCCTGAAAGAAAATGTAAGTGCTACAACGGGTATTTTGTCAATGGATATGTTTTCCATACTGAAGAATACAAGTAAGGAAGAAAGACATACAACAGCGGTGTTTGTGTTAAGGGATCCACTAGTAGTGAGTTAGAAGTTGACTACTATGGTAGATTAGAAGAGGTTGTCGAACTGCAATATCATAACGAGTAGAATAGAGTGTTTTTATTCAAATGCTATTGGTATGACACGACTGATAGAGGAATCAGAGTTGATCTGCACTATGGTCTGGTCGAAATCAACTCAAAAGCTAGACTCCGCAACATAAATGATGTCTTTGTTCTTGCAAAGCAATGTCAACAAGTTTATTACACATACACCCCTTCATTTAGAAAGGATCGATCAAGAGTGGATTGGTTGTCCATTTTAAAAACGAAACCCCGAGGTCGTGTTGAGGTTGTTTAGGATAAGAACGTAAACACAAGTGTGCGAGATGAAGTCTATCAAGTTAGTGAGGTGGTTGAACCATATCAAGTTGCTCCTTTGATTGAATTGGAAGAAAATTCAAATTTTCATGTTTTCGATGATAGTCTTGTTGATGTTGACGCCGAGGAGTTGAATTTTTTTTTTAGCTCTAGCAGATAAGCAACTATCGATGAAGAAGATGATATTCATATTGAAGATTGTGATGAAGGTGATGACAATTCAATTGATGACGATGAAGAAGAAAATTATGACTAACTACCAAAATAAAGCCCTATGTAAAACCCTTTTTTCATGTAATTTAGATTATGGATGATATATTTTGAAACACAAAATATTTATTACTTGAAATAATTAGTTGAAATGTCACAATTATGAAATAATTACTTGAAATAATTATTAATCATGGATGATATATTTTGTAACATGAAATAATTACTGTAAATGCCACCACATCACCGACGGCCAGACCGACAGAGTTGAGTCCGTCGGCATTTCACAGAGAGTTCGAAAATAAGTACTTCAAATGCCACCATATCACCAACAGCCAAACCGATGGAGTTGAGTCTGTTGGCATTTCACAGAGAGTTCAAAAATAATTACTGGAAATGCCACCACATCACTAACGGCCAGACCGACGGAGTTGAGTCCGTCGGCATTTCATAGAGACTTCAAAAATAATTACTTAAAATGCCACCACATCACCGACAGTCAGGCTGACGGAGTTGAGTCCGTCGACATTTCACAAAGAGTTCGAAAATAGTTACTTCAAATGACACCACTTCATCGATGCCTAGACCGACGAAGTTGAGTCCGTCTGAACGTTGGTGACGGATCAATTTTATGGATAAACTAATCGACGGACCTCGCGCATTTCAAAGTGTTGTGCATTAAATGCATCTCTGACCGCGTCATATTGCCGACGGACCACGAAAAATATGGAGGGACATTAAAAATTTTGGTGCGAAATTCAAAATTTATTGGCGGATTTTTACACCTCACCAATGAAAAAAATTTAAAATAATAATTAATTTTCTATTCGTTGGGTAATCCGTCGGTAAAACTGGCATATGACCATCAGTGAATCTGTTGGTAATCCGTCGGTAAAATTGCCATATAAGTGCCCCAACCGCCTCTTCAGTTCATTTTCTCTTCTTCTAAGTTTTTCACCTTTCTTTTCCTCTCTATGCTGCTCTTCGTTCTTCACCGGCGATCTCAAGCATTTTTTGTCGTGAATCTCCATCAATTTAAAAGGTTAGTGTTTCTTCTTTTTCATTTTACTTTAATAGTTTTTTTTTGCTATTTTTTTGTTATGTTTTTTGTTTTGGTGTATTTTTTGTAATGTAGATAAAGTCTATAGTTTTTCTTTTTAATTTATTGAATATTTTTTATTGTTGTTTTGGCATAATTATTATTAGTAATTTGTTGAATATTTATTGTTAATGTTGAATTTATCTTAGGATTAATAATTGAATATGTTGGAATAATTATTAATTTTACTCTATTATTACATGATTTGGGTTTAATTTTTTCCATTTATTTTGATTGTTATTCTAGAGTTTTTTTTTTAATTTATTGTTTTGTTGCATTGGCATAATTATTGAATAATTTGTTGAATTGTAATTTTTAATGTTGAATTTACCTTAGGATTATGAATTGAATATGTTGGAATAATTAGTATAGATTGAGCAAATTGGTTGTGGCTACTGTTAATATGTGTAGGTTTGTGGATTTGGGTAGTATCCAGTATAAGGGAGGTGCTGTCGAATTTTTTTTAATATTTGAATTTAATTATATAATTATTTGTATAAAATTATGTAGATGCGTAGAACAAAAACCAGAGCTGGTTGCTCACGTCTGGTCGCAGCTAGTTCGTCTAACAGCGATGATGACATCTTCTTAGGTGCCTCCAAAGAAGAGGCAGTTATACCACCTGCTGCCTCTTCTAGCGCCTCTTCTAGCGCTACTTCACAGTGCAGAGGCAGCGTGCCTTCACAGAGGAATCAATTTACCTGCCAGTACGAGGCACAGTGGAAGGATGACCTTTCAATGTAAGTTTGTCAAGATTTTAGTTTTTCTTTTTTATATTACAACATAATTTATGAAATAATCACTATTGAATTTATTTCATTTATTTTCAGGTTCATAAACATTGAAGCCGCCCGAGTAATATCATCGGCGTTTAAATCGTCGATGGAGATTCCATTGTTTCAATGGAGTCAAATATCTAAGCATCCTGAATGGATGCCTCAAATCAATGCATGGTTTAACAGGTTTGAGGTTGGTATTAATTTATAATTTTTAGCTTATTAATATAATTGTAAATAAATTATTATTTTTATCTAAACTTATTCATTTATACACAGTACAAATTCTGCTAGGACATTAAGCATAACACTATTGTGAGGAGGGTGTGAGAAAATCACGCGGCAACTAGGTAAGATCGAAAACAATACAGGATTTTTTTTAGACAAAAATTTATGTTTCGAAATGTAATTTTTGGTTGTGTGAAGTAGGTTGCGTGACTTTTGGTATGAAGCATAAAAAAAAGCAAAAAAAAGTCGTAAGGGATAGGGGTTTCCAAGGTTAGAATGATGTTGCGGTTTGGAGGGATTTCAAACCGATATACATCCCAGAAGATATATGGCCGCACTATATTGAGCACGTGACGTTTGAGTGGTTCACACAACACTCATGGTCTGGTGCTGGCAACCACGACGCTCACGGTCCGGTGCTAGCAATCGGAATCGGCCAATTCATGGCGGGGTGACAACGCACACTAGCGGCTTTATTCCGTTTGCTGCACATGAAAAATGGATGGTAAAATTAATTTAAATGAAATATATCGTTAAATTCAGTTATTGTTAATATATCTTTTTTTATTATAGGTTGCGTCTCTTGAACGTGAGCCGAGCCCGATGGAGCTATTTGTGGAGACGCACGTCCGGAGTCAAGACCACCAGAAGGGGGTGCAACAATTCGTTGATAATCATGCTCAACATTTCGAGGTATGTTTGTTCAACCATTTCATTTTGTAAGTTATTATGTAAGTTATTATGTTTATTGAATTGAATATGATGATTACTTCTTTTTTTTTTCCAGAAGAACTATAATAATCGGTTGAGGGAGAGATACGGGGACAATATTTTGAACCATTCAGAATTCGATCCAGATTTATGGATGGAGGTTGGCTTCTTAGGTGGACCCAATAAAAATCGGGTTTACGGGCTCTCCAACACTACAGCCGACAACTTGCAGTCAACCCGTAGTGTTTCAACCATTAGGAGCTCCCAATCAATATCAAGCTCCAAATTTAAGGAGTTCGAGGCCTTGCAGCAACACACGGCTCAGCTCACCAAGAAATACGACCACCTATCAGCGGAGTACGCGCAACTCAAAGCGTCTCAAGAGCAATAAAAAGCGGAGTATGAACAACAAAAAGCGGCTTACAAACAGCTTCGCAAATTGGTTATGAACATGGCAAATAGTGGAACATGTGCGTCTAATCCTTTTTGGCCATATAACCACCAGCCTCCTTCAGGATCTCCTCCTCCTCCTCCTCCAGCTCCACCTTTATGTTAATATGTAATAAACATTATTTAACTTTAAAACTTCATTTAATATTTTTTTTGAAACATATTTAGTTTGTAATGAATATTATTTAACTTTTTTTTGTTTATTATAAATTTCATTTGCATAATTGATTTGTATAACAATTAATTTACATAGTTTTATATTATATATCCTAAATAATTTTTAAAAAACAAATTTAGAAAAAAAAACGATTACTAATGATTTTACTAACAGATTCATTCGATCAGTATTTTAAACGCTCACTGACCGACTTGCCGACGTAATTACTCCATCGACATTTAACAGTAGCTGCCACACTTACCGATGAATTTACAGAAGGATATATTCAGTCGATATTTCAAACACTCACAGACCGACTTACCGACGGAACAACTCCATCGGCATTTGACAATAGCTGCCACACTTACCGACAAATTTACAGATGGATATATTCGGTCGTTATTTCATACACTCACCAACAGCCCTACCGACGGTTAGTTTCCATCGGTAAATCGCGATATCACCGACAGAATACAAATCCGTCGGTATATTCAAGCAAGAATCTTTCTTTTTTTTGGCGCGCAAATTCTATCTGTAAAACCACCGATAAATGGTTTTTTTGTTTTGCCGACCAATATAGCGACGGAATGTTGAATCATCGATGAAAGGTAACTCAACGGACATAATTCATCGGTGATGACATCGGTAAAAAAATCACCGACAAACTTCTAATCACATACCGATGGAATTTTTTCGTCGATAAAACTGTGAAATCTTGTAGTGTATTACTATTACTATTACTATTACTATTGTTATTGTTGTTGTTGTTGTTATTGTTGTTGTTGTAGTAGTATTGCTGTTATTTATAATTTATACAATTAACCTCCTTGTGGTTCGACCCTAGCCTTGTCGGGTTATTTATTGCTTCGACATTCCTGCACTTGGAAGAAGATATAAATAAAAGGATTGATTGGTGAGTTGAAGTATTGAACTTGAAAGGACAAAGAAAGAGTGAAGCTTAGAAAAGAGATACTGGTGCAATCCAAATTGGAACAGTGTTTACTAATTAGGTCATATCTGGAGTTATAGATCTTAGATTTTTGTTTGCTTTATATGGATGGAAAGCTAAGACATAGGCTTAAAACTTTTAAAGGAAAAACTCAATTATGCTATTTGAAAGTCCAAATCATAACAACAACATAGAAGTCTGAATTTGTCCTGCAACCCAAACACTGTTCAGTATTCAACCCATATCTAAAGTTCTAGAAGTCCAAATAAACTTAATTTTTTTTTTGGAAAGCTGAGATAATTTTCTAGAACTTTCATATGGAAGGATGGTTCAAATTCTGATGTTTTCAATGATTTTTTGTTTAGACAAAAAGATAAGAATTATCACCAAGTCAAGATGTGGCCACCCACTCAACAATTATTCATCAAATCAATAGTTCTAAATTTTAGCCTATAAAAGAAGGCATTTGCCATGCATTTAGGCATCTTGGTTTTTAGATTAAGATCATGTTATTGCTTTCTCTCTTTGTATTTTTGTAATGCTTAAGTTTTCCTTTCATTAATATTTTTTCTATGCATTTCAATTTATTTCCTTTACCTAGTTAACTTTTATCTTATTTATGTTCTTATCTTTTTTATTTATGTTTCTCTCTATCATTATGTTTAGCTAAGTTTATTATATCAAGGTGAAAAGGTTACACTAATGGTGTAAAAATAAGTATAGTGTAAATTCAATATAGACTTTACTGTTTGATACTAACATGTTTTGTATTTGTTATCTTGGTCACGCTTTAATACTTTGCTTGTTAAATGACTAATCTAGATTTATGTTGTATTATACTTGGTACAATAAATGCTTGGCACTTTTATACCACAAACCGTATGGTATAACTAACACCTATGCTCTAAAAGACACTTGATTTGTTGTTAACATAAGTTATAATTATGAATACTTGACAACATTTAGAAGCATCAGTATTTCAAATAAGATAACTAATAACTAATATACTCATGTTAACAATTTATAATCTGATGGGAACCTCCTTTATATATGGCTTTCATTTAAGTAATAAAAGTATATACTATACTTATTTGAAATACCATTAGTGGATCCTCTAACCTTAACATTTGTTATTATCATTGTTTAATCCTCATATTGATATTTCATCTTAAAGTTCTTATCAACTTCTTCTTCGTCTTCTATTATAATTACTACTACTACTATTGTTACTATTACTACTACTACTATCACTATTAGTACTAATATTATTGTTGTTGGATTGTTGTTATTTATAATTTATAAAATTAATCTTCATATGGTTCAAACCTACTTTTGTCGGGTTATTTATTACTTCGACACTCTAGCACTTAGAAAAAGATATCAATCTTTTGGTCGTGTCAGTATCATAGGATAAGAGGTTTCATAATGGATTTAGTATCATAGAAGTTTTCTTTTAATCTATTCCCTTCAGGTAAAATACTTCTCGCTTGTTCGATGATTATATCGTAACCAACCTTACTTAGTCTACGATATGACTTAATGATAAACACTTGCGCAATGACTAATAATTTATTGTGATTTATTCACCTATCCCATAATGATTCGTTGGAATCTTTTAAAAGATCGAAAAACCTGGTCACGTCTGCATTTGATTCTTCATCTATGTTGAATGATGAAATTGAAAAGAGGGTTAGCTAAAAAAGAATCGAAAAAACCAAGTAAACCAAACTCTATGATTTAGATCAAGTGAATGAGATAATTGAATAGAAGCCTACTCGAAAAACATCACACAACTCAATTCCAAAGCAACATAATGCTAAAGGACGGAGTGCAAAATATATTAAATTTGAAAAGAACGACCATAAAAAAAAAAAAAATCAAGCCAACCTTGACCAACTTATAAAACTTGCAATTTAAGCGATGGGACCGAGACAGATAAATAGAAAAAAATAAGAGAAAATCATAAAATTTAATTTCAAAAAACCTCAACCTTGAAGGATGGAACCAAAAAAGAAAATTCCCAATCAATAAAATATTAAAGGATAAAATTAAGAAAAAAATAATTTAGAAAACTTGAAAAAGTAAATACAACAAAAAAAATGAAAAAAATGAAAAAGTAAGACAACTTAGAGCATTTTAAAAATTCACAAAACATCACATAAAAGGTAGATAAAGAAACAAAATAAGGCTTACTCACTAATGATATAAATGTGAAATGATGAAATTAAAAAAGAAAACTATCAAATTTACAAGCAAACACAGGGAAAACCTTATAAACTTGGGTTATGGTCTCAAATTTACAATCCATTAAATTCTAGACTCAAGCTAAATCAAAAAGCTCAATTCCAACCCACTTTAATTTTGAATAGCCAACAAATAAAAAAAAAACTCAAGAAAACTAAGGTCATTTTCAAAATCAGTGAAAAATCTTAAAAAACCAAATAAATAAAAAATAACAGAGCCTAATTTCCAACTGAATAAATATTGAAAGACAACTTAAAAAATACAATCTCTATAACTTGAGTTAATCTCTAAAATCAAAGCCCATGAAATTTTAGATTTGAGTTTAGTCAAGCAGCTCAATTTCTATTCAATTTAATGTTAAATGGTAAAATCATTAAAAATATCAATTTAAAAATATATTAAAGAAACAAATAGTAATAAAAAAATGAGGATTAATTTTACAGGAAAAAACTTAAGAAGGCTAAAATTTTTAAAAATAAAAATTTATCTCAAACAAAACAAATAACAATTAGAAAAAGATAGACTAAGTTTGAAAAATTAAACGGGGATGAATTGAAAAGGA